GCTCTCTGTCCTGATCTGTTCAAGGCTCATGTGCGCCATCTTAGATAATCCTTGTTGTTACGCATGCGTTCCTTAATTTCCGCTGGTTTGGCTATTTGGCGGGAAATCTGGTCCTTCTGGCCCTTCAACAAGACAAGAGCGCCTGCGATCATAGGACAGTTGGGAAGTGAAAACCCTTGGGGACCCCAGAGTTATATATTTATTTAAAAAAGAAACTCTATGTAAGGGATTATAAACTGTTTACGATCTCTTGGGTATTTTTGGGTGTATTTCCATATTGATTTCCAGCTGTCTCTGGAGAGAGCTTTTAGTTAGCCAAGTATGAGAAGATTGCTTCTCCCCCTATACCTTACGAGACTCCAAACAACACCTCTGCCACTTCATGTGGTAGTCCTTTTACAGCATTTGAGAGATCAGTTCTGCGCTTGTCATTGACGTGCTGTCTTCGACTTTTAAGAACTGAGGAAATGAATACTCAAGTAGCCTGTCAATCAGAACTCCCCAGTTCAATGAGCCTCCAAGCTAAAACAGCTTGATAGAGATTGACGGCAAAATTCAATTTTAAAGAGACTAGGGTGTTTCATCGATTTGTTTGCCTTGGCATCATGTTAACTAATTTTAACCAAAATACTTGACTTACTATGTTGTCGTTTTAAGTTTTGCTTCGTGGAAATTTTGGCCAATCCTTGAAATAATGAATTTTGCTGTAATGCCGTCGATAACCGTTGACTTTCACGTCTCACCTTTGCGATACCGGTGCTGGCCTTTTTTCACTACTATCCAAGTAGTGTATCGCGCAGGTCATGGGTTCGAATCCCGTAGAGGCCTGAATTTTTTTCAGGCTGCTCAAGTAGTGTTCTTTACTGCGAAGATCGCTTTGATATTAATTACTATTTGTGTTTAGAACCGGTCGTTTCATTTTTGTTTTATCGAAGCTGGCAAACAACGATGGAGGATCTATAATTTGTTACTATCTTTTAAATGTAGTTAACAGGATAATGGAATCAAGGAAAACACGGCTTAAATATTTGCTCTTTGGTATATCAAAAGCCTCAGAGAAGCTTTAATAAGCCGATGACAAATGAATGAAGAATTTAGTTATTTTTTGCAATGAATTCTGACAAAAAACTGAGGCACTTATCATCCCTGTCTCTCTCTCTCCCTCTCTCCTTCCCTCCCTCCCTCCCTCCTTCCTTCTCTCCCTCTCTCTCTCTCTCTCCCTCCCTTCTCTTCTTTATCACTTGGCCTATGTTCTGCACAACTTTGGTAAAGGTAGGCGTGGCACTGGTAACTGGACCCTGGACCTTCTGATTATGTTGACGAGAGCAGAGTACGAAATGGCGGTTTTATACTTACTTTGTGTCCATTACTTTGTGTGACAAGTACTACAGTAAGGGGTAATGTTTTCAATGTAAACCATTTTATGGAGGCGGGAAAAATGGATATCATAATCACTGAACTTGTTTTGACAAACATTGTTGATTTGCGTTGTTGTCTTTAATTCTTAAGTTATGCTCAGTCGAAATGCGGCTACTCCTTCAAAGTAACAACACATTCATTGGGTGAGATCAAATCGGTTTCGCCCAAAAAAGCTCTTTCTTTATAAAAAAGAGAAATTTTGCCAACCTTTAGAGGTAAGCTTCTTTTATTTCAATCGTCTCTAATGAGACGGAAGTTTGGCCATTTTGGCCACTGGTGGCCGTATGGGCATTTGGGCCTCTATTGGTGTTTGGGAATTTTAGCCACAAGTGGTGTCGGGGCATTTTTGCCACCAGTGGATTACAATGGGGAATACCCTGATGTGTAAAACAAAAGACTGACAAAAATGGAATAGCTATTGAATAAGAAAATTATTCTTAATTACTGGTTGAGTGTTAACCTATAGTCACTACATTCTTGAATCACCTTTTTCTTGTGGAACAGGGTACTCATAAATATGTGGGATGGGCCAGCACAAGGCATATGCAGTCTGAACTGCGTATTTTCGTTAAGGCAATTTAAATGATATTCATTTTTCTTCATGACCTGCTGGATAAATATTTAAAATTGCAAGCTTTTCTACCTCTTCCTTTCAAGACGTTGCCTTGGTCCATTTGAAAATCTGAATTGTATATTACATAAGACATCTACTTGGCGAGCTTACATATGTTTTGCTTAAAAGGAACCTTCTACTTCGTGACCGGAAAAATGTTAGCCTTCAGCAACAAGCTTCATTTATTTGTATCGTATCTTTTGACTTAAAGTACAAAGTTACATTGACAAAATCTTGTTTAACAAAAATATTCATCAATCAAAATTAGCAACGAGGCTAAGACAAAAAAAACAAAACAAAACAAACAGAACAAACAGGTTAATAGAGCAAAAAAAGGTAATTGCTACGAAATGCAAGCAAAAAGCTGGTCAGACTGGTCATCTCATTTCTTGCGGAAGCTCTGAAGTCGGTCGTTAGGGAAACTCATCGCTCCCGGATTTACACACCACTTGCCTCCATCCAGTTGCTGTTGCAGACCCTGATAGTTGGGTTTGGTGAAGATGGCAAAGTTTTGGTTCTGGGACAACACGATGACAGAGGAAACTCCTCCGGATCTCCCGCTTGGGAAATAGGGGTTCACATCTGAGCAGCTTTCTTCAAACCACTGCATGAAAAATTTGAAAAGAAAGCGCTCAAATAAAATGAGGAGAAACTTTTAAATGTTACTTCTTTCATATTAGCATGAAGACTCGTTTTCAGGCCCTCTTAACAAAAGTTTCGAATTTGGTTAAACCCTACATTTATAACGTGGTTTTTAAATACTCTGAATATTCATTCAAGATTTTGGGGGCGAACGGAGCTACCGGTGGGAATCGTAATACAACAGAAAGCGTGAGCTATTGATCATTGAAAAGCTTATAGGCTCTCAATACCTTCCTTTCTCCACCGTAGTTACTGTGCTCGAACAGAATGATTCCTTCTACTTGGTCCTCAAGGAGATACATGGAGCCATTCACACATGAGATGTTTACATCTGCTCCAGGCTGGAGAACCTTGTGGTTAGATGGACCAGCACCAAATTCTCTGTCGTTGTAGTTTGCATGAGTGTAGAGGATCCAAGTTCCTGAGGTAACCACGGCTCTTGTGAATTCAACACCATCTACCTTCAGGTTCTTGTTTGAATCCGCAAACTCCTGGCTCAGACCTTGTGAGTTGTACAACTTGATAGACATGATGGATTAAACCTGGAATAGATTTACATGAAAATATCTCAACAAATGTAAATGCGTTTACCATGACTGACTACTTCGTTTTCAAATCATACAGGTCCCATTTTTGTACAGACGAGGCTTTCAGGTTGAACATCCGTCAGATCTCTTATTTAAAACTTCGAGATATGGGTGGTCAAAGAATGCAACAATTTTGAACTTGCCAAATCAACCTGTCTTGTTAAGGCGTATTTAAGAAACATGACACTGAGATTGTGTCTCCAAATGGTAGGCTACTAGGTTTGCAGCTACCTTTGTAAATGATTTTTCTTACCTTTATTTTCCAAGCGCAATTCCGGGAAGACAATTTCTTTTTGACGTATTACGAGATTCCAAAAGGCACCTTTGCCACTGTATGTGGAAGTCTTCTTATAGCAGTTTACAGATCATTACTGCGCATGTCATGGACGTGATGTCCACGACTTTCAGGAAGGAAATAAAGCTCCAATAGCCTGTCAATAGCCAGATTAATAGGCCCCTCAAGACATTCAATTGCCGAAGACCAAGTTCAAAGGCCACTCCTAGACAGAATCAAAACAGCTTGAAATAAATTGCCAGCAGTCCCCATGAAAATCACCGGATAAAAAAAAGTCTGACAACTGGCGTTTTACAAGTTATTCCTCAAAGAAACATTTTTAACAAGATGCTTCCTGATATGCTTTTTGGTTAGTGAAGCTGAAAACGGTTGACCATCACATGACGTCAACGTCGCAAAATGGATATTTGAACTGTTTGTGAGTCACAGGATGGGAACAAACACTCAAATAACCTCTCATAGACCACTTTGATAAATGGCTGCGGGATTAATATTCTTTTGTTTAAATTTAAATTAACCCTTAACCGCACATATGTCGAATTTTGAAAATGGGTAGAAAGTTTCTCCCTTAAACAATTCGATGGAACCTCTAACCTTTAATAAGTATGAATAAATTAATCAAGGGAATGTTATGGCAAAATGAATTAAAATTTTTTGGCACTATCCTGCCTGATTTTCTCAAAAGCAGTGAAGACTGGAAACGGCAAACCCGAAATGTCAACGTCATCTTTAACCTCTCTATTGTTATTTTTGGAACGGAAGTTGCTTTTGTCTCCTGGTCATTGTGAAACTAAATTAAAGATCATGAAAGTTAGTTGGTAATTATTTATTGTTTTTGCCTAATGGAATATTGGAGTTTTTTTTCTTCCTGAAAGTCGTGGACAGCACGTCCGTGACATGCGCAGATCTGGTCTTAGAAATGCCATAAAAGGAATCGTGGCAACGATGTCATCTGGAGTCTCGTAAGACATCAAGAAAAAGTTGTATTACCCTTGGAAAACAAAGGTAAGAAAAATTATTTACAAAGATAGCTGGAAACCAGTAGCCTATCTTTTGCTAACTCACACAATATGAGTTGTAAGTTTTCTCAAGCTTTTTCGAGGTTAAAAAGGTTGATCTGGCAAATTCAAAATTGTGTCCCTCCTCGACCGCTCATATCTCGATGTTTTAGTAGGAAATGCTGTCGAATATTT